TTTTTAACAGCCTCACTTGGCAAGATTAGAAGCAGACCATTCGATCTTGCCCCCCCTCCTTTATTTTCTTTAATCTATTCGCCCACGAAATCCCGAAGTTAGGCAATCACTGTAAGAATAAATACACAATACTAGCTAATATTAAGTGTTTCCTATGAGTTAAGCTCTTTACATCAATTATTTGATATTTCAAAAAAATTTATGTTCGATATTTCCCCAAAAATATCTGTGTAAGATCTATCATCTCCCTTTACAGATAAAGAAACTAGGCTCAGAGAGATTAGACTGTGTTAGAGGATGGTTTAAAACCCAGGCACTATAACCCTACAGATCACACACTTAAACTGTTCCTACTGTCTTTGAAATCAAATTCATTAGGCAAGACATTTAACCTCTCTGAAATCAGGTTTACCATATATAAAATGGGGATATTACCTACCTCACTGAGTTATTGGAAATATTAAAAAGGTACAATATTTAAAAACCGAGCAGAAAATCTAACATAAGTCACTTAACAATACTGTTTCCATACGCATCCTTAAACTAAAATCAGTTATTTTCCACTTGACCAAGTTCCATTCTCTCATTAATTAATTCAACCTATAAAGTATTATTACTGTTCATTAGCTATCATTTAGATGCACACTTTGGCCTTGTTTCCACAGGTAAATTTGTTAGATGCCTCATTTGTTTCTCAATAGAGTTTCAGCAACTCTATTGATTTTAAAGTTACACTGGTCTAAGTGACACTGTCACACTGGCAACTGTGCATTCTTATAGATAAGCAAAGGAAAGCTAAGCCTCCTGAGAAAGTTCTTGCTCCAGTAATTTTTTTCTCCTCAGGAATCCTCCTAGTGTAAGAGACCAACATGTACCGTAACTTATATGGTAACTCAATAGGAATCACTTGTTTCAAAACATTAACCCTACAGGTGTGAAACATAAGGTACCTACTAAAGAAATATTTCCCCCTCATCTGCATTTTTAATTCCCCATTTTGTTTTTGCTGCCTTCTGGAAAAATTATGTTGATTTTCCCCCCACCTTAGTCTCAAAGAAGAAAAGGCTGCTAAATTAATAATTCCATTGAACTACTAAAATTGTAATCTGTAAATTATTATAAATTATGGTACATCTTTACTATACTATTTTGTAGCCATTAAAAAGAACGTGGGGCCAGCCTGGTAGCATATCGGTTAAGTGCGCGTGCTCCGCTTCAGCAGCCTGGGGTTCACAGGTTCAGATCCTGGGCGCGCACCAACACGCCACTTGTCAAGCCATGCTGTGGTGGCATCCCACATAAAGTAGAGGAAGATGGGCATGAATATTAGCCCAGGGCCAATCTTCCTCAGCAGAGAGGACTGGCAATGGATGTTAGCTCAGGGCTAATCTTCCTCACCAGAAAAAAAAAAAAGAACGTGTTGAATTTTATTTACTGACAGGAAAAATTCTCAAGAGAATTGACTGACCACACTCAATCCTGGTTTCTTGGAAGAAACCTCTGGATGAACTGAAACTGAGAAGTAATGACTCATAAGGTAAATTATAAAAGTTAGGTGGGAATTTAGGCTGCCATGACCTACTAGACATTAGGACATAGAGAGGAGGTTCCACAGAAAGAATGGAATGGGAAGCAGAGTGGATGGAGATGAGGGGACTGTATCATACAAGCTGGACTCCTTGGTAATGGGACCTCAAGTCAGCTGAGGCTGTACAGGGGTTCACCGGAGAGACAAGGGCTTTGAGTAGGTTTCTGCCCTGCCTGACTCTTCAGTGGAGAGGATGGTCGGCTGCCTAGGAGATAACTGGAAACTATCTTCCTGGTCTGATAAGATTTGGTGCTAACTTAAGAATCTGTTTCAACAAATATAGAGCACTTAACATACCAGCCACCTTTGTAGGCAAAGGTAGTATTGGGGAAGATGAAAAATATACAAGATAATTTCAGATAGTGATAAGAACTATAAATAAAATAAGGCAAAATAATAAGTGATGAGAAGGGATACAGAAGGACTTGAGACCTGAATCACAAAAAGGGTTAGGCATGTAAATAGTTAGGTAAGAGTAGATCAAGTAGCAGAAATAGCAAGCCAAGTGAAAAGACCTTGAGAGAGAAATGAAGCCACTGTGGCTAGAGCAGTGCAAGCAAGGGAAAAATGAGACGGTCACAGAAGGCAGGAGTCAGATCACAGTAAAAATCTGGTATAGTGGGAAGCCACTACAGATTAGACAAGGCAGTCATCTGGCCTCTTCAAGTCCTAAGCAATGAGCTTTCCTCCTGTGCAGAGGATGGATGGGAGGAGGGCAGGGTGGAGGACTAGGAGCAAGAGGGAGCAGTTATGAAGGCACTGCAACAGAGCAAGTGAGAGAGAAAGATTGCCTGGCCTACGGTGGCCACAATGGAAATGAGGCAAGGTACGGATGCAGAAGAGCCCACAGGACGTGCACATAGACGAGAAATGGGGATGAGAGAAAGGACTTGAGGACTTCTTTTAGTTTGAACAAATGAGTGTTAGGTACCGCCAGTTACTAGAATGGGTAATGAGTTGAGGGGGAAACAGGTTTCGTTGAAAACTTAAGATTTGTTTTAGATAGATAAGTCTGAGATGCTTACTAGAGGTTAAGGTAGAACACTCAACTATGCCACTGAACTCTGGTGCTCAGGGAGGCAAGCTGGATATAGAGATTTGAAAGATAGCAGAAAATACTGATTGCCATATGGATTTTTTTTCCTTTGGAGAGAGCAGAGCTAGAAAGTACAGCCCAAACTAAGGTCAAGCAGAAAAGGAGGAATGGGCAAATACAGAAGCAGTCAGAAAGATATAAGGAAAACCAGGAGTGTGGTTTCATAGAAGTGGAACAAATAGTGCAAAAACAAGGAAGTAGACAACTATTGAAGGCTAGTGAAGGTTTAGTAAGATGAGGACAGAAAAGCGACCACTGGGTTAGAAACATGCAGGACACTGAGACTTTCATAAGTGCAATTTTAGTCAATGTATACTAGAACTTTTTGCTCAAGTAAATTCTCTGTAGGATTCTACCATTATAACACGTGGTAGGCGGACTAATGGTGCCCAAGAGATGTCCATGTCCAATCCCTGGAACTATGAATCTTGCTTTATATGGTAAAAAGGACTTTGCAGATGTCATTAAATTAAGGATCTTGAATTGAGGAGATTATCCAAGTGGGTCCAGTATAATCACAAATGTCCTTTTAAGTGAAAGAGGGTGGCAGGAAAGTCCGAGATTTGAAGATGCTACGCCGCTGGCTTTGGAGACGGAGGAAGCGACTATGAGCCAAGGACTGCCAGTGGCCTCTGGAGCTGGAAAAAGCAAGCAAACAGATTTTCTCCTAGAGTCTCCAGAAGGCATGCAGTCCTGCTAACACCTTGATTTTAGCTCAGTGAGACTCATTTCAGACTTCCAACTTCCTTAACTGTAAAATAAATTTGTGTTGTTTTAAGCCACAAATTTGTGGTAATTTGTTACAGCCGAAATAGAAAACCAATACACAAAGGATACCAAGCCCTGGTTGTTCCCACAGCCTGCCAGGTGGTCCGTATGCTCAGTATACACATGGCTACAAAAAAAACAAGGTTACCCTTAAGAGTGAAACTAGTGAAATCCCCAAAAACATGTCCTCTGTTATTAAAACAAAAGTAGCTAACAATCACAAGCAACTCTATTAATAATCTGGCCAAAGTTAAAACCTAAAATGACTTTACTGAACAAGCAGTATCTAAAAACATGCTAAAAGCCTAAGAACTTGACAGTTTATTACAACACTGTCAACCAGAGATCTGACGAACATGAACATTCTACTCACACAAGAAGTATAAGGCATGGATGGTACGACAGATCTTCATGGCCTGAAATTCTTCAACTTATAAACTTAACTCCAAACAACTTTTATAGATTCCAAGCTATATGCCACCCAGTGGTGGTATAAGCAGGTATCTGTATAGGGGCTTTAGACTTTTATAAAACCTAAGTAGAGGAAATTCCCTTGGATCATAAATTTCATAAATACCAAGCATTTTCATGATTCCATTCTGGTACATATAAATCTCAACTTGATTTAGGCTAAGTCAGACTGAACAACCCGTGGTACATCGACAGTACTGCTGCTGCAAAGCAGAAGACCAGGCATATATCAAGTTCACACAAAAATACTACCATTCCATGAGACCCACGGGGATCATCAGTTGGCTCCCCCATGACATAACTCTCTTGACCCTCTAAGGCAGTCATGGCCTACAGTGCTTTCTTCTGGTTACCACAAATCCTCCAAACTTATCTTATTCTTTGGTTGGTTATTTCTTTTAAGGAAAGTTATCAAGGTTCATTCACAAGATGAATAAGGAAAGAGAAAGCAATTTGGCAGAGATGTTATTCATTGTTGTAAGTATTTCCAAATTATTAGTTTAATATCCCCTCCATATTTTAAAAAATAAATACATCACAAGTCTAAATTCAGTTGATACATTTTATTAGGTTGGTAAAAAGGCTTTTTGAACACCACCTGAACTTAAAGGATAAAGTAAAATAAACATTGCAGGTCTACAATGATCCCATCTTTATGATCACACAGAGATACAGTAATGTACATTAATGTTCACTCAATTTTAATAGATTTTGGGGGGTGCTGGGATTTTGAGTGATTTTTCTGCTGTCTTTCAGCTAATTCTGAATTGCTTTATTTTTCTCTTATAATTAGCATGTGTCATTTAAATAAGTCACTATTCTGAAACTTTTTAAAAGGCAGGTCAAGCATTTCTATCCAATCTAGGAAGAAGGGAGTAAATGTAACCCCAGCAAAGAACATGAAAATTTCAAAAATTCAGTCCAAGCAACTAAATTTCAAAATTACGAAACAATATGTTTACCACAGATTATTTAACGAGGTTGTCTTTTGACATAGTTATGATATAGAAAAACTCTGTGGCAATTTCCACTGATGACACTCAAATCTCCCAATTTTTCCCAAGAAACAAACATTGCTTTGTTTTAGAGGCATTTTATTTAGACAACTAAAAACAATTAGATGTTCAGAAGCAGTGTACAATGAAAGAGAAATCAAACCAGTTACTTTATCATGTATTCCCTCTTCTTTACAACTAAAGCAAAAAAAGGCTTTCTGCTTTAAGGGAAAAGTCAGAAAAATAGGCCAATATATTTTTCTTCTCCATAATAACATAAACACCTACAAGAAATCTAATTGTAATAAGAGAAATTGGATGTTGGCTTGCACATATTCATTAAGATGACAACAGGCCATCGTACTACAAGAGCATAACTCCACCTGCCTTCATCTGATACGCTTGTGTTTTCACTTACAGGTAACACCAAGTTAGTTAGTTCCAGCACTGGAGCTAGTTCATATTCCTCATTATTTACTGCTCATGTTTGCCTTAAGTACAGAGTAACTCTGGAAGGCTGATGCTTTTCTCTGCTTGCTTGTTTCAGTCCACATGTTGTATACTATCTGTGGCATATGCCTGAGGCTCAGGCCTTAACTTCAGGAGTTGAACTATAGATGGAATCTGAATTCTCTGAAGCAATTTCTTCTACAATTAAAAAACAAAAAATCACATTAGTCAACTTAATAAAAGAATGAAGCTAATCTACATTTCTGTGTAATGAAGGAATAAAAAAGTTTTTTAAAAGTGTGCTTGTGAGGGGAAGCAAAGGAGAACAAGTACATGTGCATTAATGACTAGACTCACACCAAAGAAAAAGCAACAAAGAATAAGTTCATGTATTTTACCCATTAAACTCCTTTACACCATAACTTAACCTCTAAAGGGTCCCTCTTCTCAGCTAAATTTTCAATGACTCCAACTATCTAATAAACACTGAATTACAGTCTTCCTCTTCTTTATTTATTCAAACTTCAAACAATATTATATGATCAGGGCATGTTATAATTCGTAATTCCAGATTTGGGAAAGAACACTTGGTACGTAGTAAGTGCTTAATAAATGTTAAATAACAATTACCATTGTAACAATTTATTTATTTTACTATCTGCCTCCTAAGTTGGACTCTAAGTTCTATAAGAGTAACCACACATCAGTCAGGTCTACACTACATCTCCATGCCTTCTACTATGCAGTAGGAATTTAAATATCTGTTCTATAAACATGTATATATAAATATATACATATTTAAACTTTCCATTATTTATGTTCGTATTCAATAAATTTCCTTTGTCAATGAGTAAAACTCAAATAACACTCCTTTGTCAATGAGTAAAACTCAAATAACACTTCAATTTTAAATCCCCTAGGACTCTACAAAAGTTAACGTGTTAGTATTTACCTAGCTCCTCTTCCGTTGTCTCTGGAAAATTGATCTTTGGCTTTGCCAGCTCACCACTGTCTTCTTCTGTGAAAAGAAGAGCAATGATGATTGCATAAATTACAATATTACCAGTAATTTCTAGTATTTAATAGTAAGAAGAGTACACCAAGACTATTCCAAGCAATGAGCTACAAAACATAATAGAAACAACTTCTTTTTTAATAATTGTTATTTAAAATAGTACATCTCTCCTTAAAAATTACTTTTAGGTTCATACTATAACTACTTTGGGATCAATAACTAAGTATTTTTATTAAAAATATGTACACCGGGGCCGGCCCTGTGGCTTGGCGGTTAGGTGCACGCGCTCTGCTGCTGGCGGCCCGGGTTCGGATCCCGGGCGCGCACCGACGCACCGCTTGTCTGGCCGTGCTGAGGCCGCGTCCCACATACAGCAACTGGAAGGATGTGCAACTTTGACATACAATTATCTGCTGGGGCTTTGGGGGGCGGGGGGAAAGGAGGAGGATTGGCAATAGATGTTAGCTCAGAGCCGGTCTTCCTCAGCAAAAAGAAGAGGATTAGCATGGATGTTAGCTCAGGGCTGATCTTCCTCAGAAGGAAAAAAAAAAAAAACAGTCTACCTTATGAGTAAGGATCATGAGTAACACTATTCAGAGATTAAATACATTTATTTATAAATTCTTTATATTGCTTTCTAGCAAATTTTGAATCAGGGCCATTCCATTCACCAAATGATCTAGTATAAAAATTTAGATTGTACAGAATAGAGTGTACAACAAAAAAATTTAAACAAACAAAAGAACACAGTGGCCAATTTATAATCATGGCCTTCTCTTTGCTTAAACCATATTATATAGTTTAAAATCTATAGGAGACGGAAACATTGAAATAGAATTAATGATGCAAAATGACATAAAATCATGAAGCTCTATTTGATAACTTTGAATAAAAATTCTTACCAGGAAGCACACATTTCCAAAGGCCGTATGTTTTTCCTACCACAGTTTGCCACAGTCTCAATGTTCCATCTTCAGAACCACTGGCATAGAGTTCTCCATCAGGACTAAATCTCACACAGTGAATAGGACCAAAGTGTCCTTTGTAGGATTCTGAAAAAGAGGAAAAGGCTATTCGATAATTTAATACTTAAATAACAGGTTAAGTATTGATACGCTAAAGAAAATACTACTTATATTATTGAGAAGATGCAAAATTCATAAGGGCAAATACAAAGAACTACACCTAATTAAAAAGAAAGTGATTCTCATCATACACTGGTACATCATGTCTACCATTTCTCCATAAGATTACCCCTTCCCAATTCTGGCATGTATTATGGTTTCAGAGTGTCTCTTTAAAAAAAAAATGAGGTTTCATGTCCCAATAAGGATGAAAGAAGGGAGAAAATGAAACTACCCTCCTAAATTCTATAGAAAGCAGATCTAAAGTCTATCAGTTCAATCCCAATTTCCATATCCTAAACTTACTGCCTATTTACTAGGGAACTAATTCTTATTATGACTACAGAGGGCCACCAGATGGAGCTCTTTTACACACTCTGCCTCTTAATTTCCTACCAGACTATCTCGAGTCTGCTAGTCATTCTGTCACAAGAACATTATATAGGATCAATACTGGTGCTTAGATATTTTAATCCACGGAATTCAATGAGAAAATGTACAGATTAGTAGTGGTACTGTTCTGTTTAAGTCACATCCTTATTTACTAACTTTTCTCATTTACTTTCTAATGCCTCATCACCAAACTCTCCATTTCAAAGCTCTCTACTAGACGAATGTTCCGTCTCCACGTCTATTCAACTCAAGGACCCTCATGCACCATCTTCCTCTATCTCTGTTCCACCAGAGAATATCATGAAAGTATTATCATGAGAGTAGAAAGAAAACGAAGTTTTGGAATAAGAATGGCTGGGTCCAAGGTCCAGTACTCACTAACTGTAACCTCAGATATCAGGCAAATAATTTACTTCTCTTTTTCAAAGTAAATAAAACATATGGCCAAAACATTCTGAAACTCTGGAAACTCACATTAAATAAAAACAATGGAAAAGAATCTCTTATTTTAAAAGTCACTTATATTCAAGCAATAAAATGTGAACCATAAGCAATTAAAATAGATTCTATATGGCCATTCACCAAGGTTCCATTTATCCAACCCAAATCTATCCGTTTTCCAAAAAAACCAAAACATAAAAAATTGTCTTTTGTTCTTTATATAATTCTTACAAGCTTAGTTCGTTGAGTGGTAGATCAGGACAGCTAGAAAAAAAGCGGCAGCTCATAGACAAAAAAATTATAAAAATGAAATACACTAGCTCAAAAAGCAAAAACTATTTGGGAAGGCTGAATACCTAGTCCATCAGATAAATATAAAGTTAGGATGTGCATTAACTTCAAATCAATCCTACATGCCTTTCCCTTTCCTTTTTTAAGGATCATTATCACGATAATGGAAGCAAAAATCAGACTCCAAGAAAGAATAAAAGTAAAATAAAAACAAGCAAAAAACCGCCTCCAGTTCAGATCCCTAAGGTATCCCTATAATAAGCCATAGCTCCCTACCTCCACTATTCTCTATAGAGCCTTAGTGACTCCTATGTTGGCAAACAGAAGAGGAGCCAGGCAGATAGGGCTTCATTCCTGCACTATACTTCAGAAAGAACAAATCTCCTTGCATCTATTTAATCAGACTTTGACATAAGATTGCCTCCCCACCTCGTCAATAAATACACTGCACTACTGTATAGAATGTCAGAATATGATGAACTTAAGCTAAAAGGAAAAGATAAATTTGATTTCAGCATACTTTGTTTATAGTTCTATAAATATTTCTACCCACAGTGGATAAAAATTCTTTAATTTTTCACTTGGAAAATATTTGGTAACTGAGGTGTTAACTGAGGTGCTAATTACTGAAACCTAACATTTGACAAAGGTAACTACATCATTTTAAGGGAGGAAAAAGAGGACAACTCACCTAATTCTTCTCCACTATTATAATCATACTTATAAAGTTTAAAATCTTCACCACCTGCAACAAGAAATTCTTTCTCAGGATGAAGAGATGCAGAATTGATGGTTGCTGGAGCTTCAAAGGATTTAATTGGGTCCAAACTGGAAAAAAATTTAAATAATAAATATTTATAAATTTTGAATATTGCATAAATAATACAGGAAATAATTAGTTACATTTAAACTGTTCCTAAATTCTGAAACCCAAGGAACAGTTAAATATTCACTTAGTCAAAGATAAATAGTGATGTTAAAAAAAAACCCTCTAAATAATATTAGGCAAAAAAGTTCTGAAGGATACCATGCCCAAGTGGAGTTCATTCTAGGAATATAAAGACATTTTGATGCACGGATATTGACATTTTGCACAATGGATGCTTTTCTGGAAATGAGTGTGCTGGCTAATTAAAAACAGTATGGCTAATATAGTGGGATTTTTGCTTTGAAAAAAATTTAATTCTGTACTGTTTGATTTTTCCATGACAAGCACACATTATTTTTGTAAAGAGAAAAAGTTTTTACAATAGGTAATTAATACAAAAAATTATTTGTACATTATTTTCAATTGCTGAGAATTTATGAGCTTCTGCAATAGGGTAAAACTTTAATGCCATAAAATATAAAACTGCTAAAAGTGGCTCAGTTTTTACTACCAGGCAGTAAAAGAATAAATTTGAGACTATAGCTATATAATAAAAATCAATGCATTACAACAGTTTCACCTGAGTATCAATGAGTTTGGACATTGGTTATTTTCCAGTCCAAACCTAAAAATCCTGACAAGCCACCAATACAAAACATTAGACCATTCCAGCTTCTAAATGTTGTCATCATATTCCCATCACCACACATTATCAAAGCATGAAAAGTAAAGTTATTTGACTTATGCAGGATCACTGAATAGCAACTTTCTAGCTCAAATGTTAGAATATTCAATAGGCCAGCAGACTTCTGCCACCAAAATAGGATTTGAGGCAACGTCTACAGGAAGGCTGCATGTTCCCCAAATCCAGGAGTGACCAATTAGCAGAGGTGTAAATTTAATGGCTTCTAGGCAATAGCATTCTATTACTATCAATTCACTGTGTGAGTATAAACTCCTTTACATTCTTAATTGCTCTTCTCCGTTTTTACTGCCTTCTCTTTCCTTCTGCCATTCAGCAAAGCTTAGATCTGCAAGTGGCCCTTTAGACAAAAGGTTAAAGTACAAGACTGCTGGTCAGAGTATAATACAGTATAATCTCTACGGAAATCAATCCAGTGACGTGTATACCAAGAACTTTAAGCACATTCCTACCCTTTAAACTAATAATTCTACTTATAGGATTCTACTGTAAGGAAACACTCAGAGATGTACCATAAAACTCACTGCAGTGTTAAAAAAGGAAACCTGATGCATAATTTATTACAACCTATAATGCAATACACCTGGTAAAAATGTTTTCAAAGAATTTTTAATGGCTAAAAATATTTTAAAATTGGGCTGGCCCCGTGGCTTAGCGGTTAAGTGCGTGCGCTCTTCTGCTGGCGGCCCGGGTTAGGATGCGGGCGTGCACTGACGCACCGCTTCTCTGGCCATGCTGAGGCCGCGTCCCACATACAGCAACTAGAAGGATGTGCAGCTATGACATACAACTATCTACTGGGGCTTTGGGGGGAAAATAAATAAATAAATAAAATCTTTAAAAAAAAAAAAAAATTTTTAAATAAAAAATAAAAATTACACTTGTTAGGGTCCTAGTAACTAAAGAAAAAAAAAACTACACAAATATACACACATATATAACAGAAAAAAAGACTAGCAGAAAATACAGCTACCATTAACATTCTGGCATCTAGTTGTAGGATTGTGGGTAAATTTTTTTAAATTATATTTTCCAAATTTTCAACAAGAGCATTTACTATATTCACAGTCACAAAAATTAAGTCTGTTTAAAAAAATTCATTAGGTCTACACACTCTTGGGAATAGAAAAAAAAAAAAAATCACTAGTATTTCTCTAAAATTTTAAAGTGAAAATTAATAGGAGAATCAAAATCACAATGGTTTTATATAGTAAAGAACATTAATTACAGCACCAGTCCAGCGATCCTTTTAAGAAAAATGTAATTTAAAACTTGTTAAATTTTACCAATCAATGTCCTAAATATCTGGAAATTAATGGATTTGGAAACATTTCCCCCTATATTATATAGCATAGACCACATTTGCCTTTAGAAGAGTTAAATATCTTTTGCAGATGCCTTCCAATTTTTAAGTACCCTAAATTGTCCCTTGTTACCAAAAAAGAAAATGAAGGTATTTCTCAGACATACCTTACTGCACTATGAAAAGCAATGGATCGTCCATAAGTTATTACCAAGATCTCTCCTTCAGGAATATATTCCATACTGCTAACAGACATATTAAAATTTAGAGATTTCACTTCTGTCATAGTAGCATGATCCCAAAGGCTGCAAAAAAGAAAGAGGAAAATATGGTATTTACTCATTTAAGAAAAAAGATTAAATCCTAGTTACATCTGCAGATTAACCAATGAAAAGAATAATCACAACCGTAATAAAACAACCTCCATTCCAACTCATAAATTACAGATGACACAGAGAAGTTTTGGGTTGCTATACACTGTCAAGTTATTTGGTAGCTTCTCAGTGAAGTCAACTTTAGTACTTAAATACACTTCCCAAACAATTTAGCAAAACTACTCTATCTAGACACTTGGGGCCCTAATCTAATTAATTTCAGTGTTGCTCTAAATAATGGTTCTTACACTTTATTTTTGTGAATTTGATGATAGCTATCTATCTTTCCACAGAAAAACACATCAGGTGTCAGCTCACAAAATTGTGTACAGAATTTCAGGGTTACATGGACCCCCTAAAGCCAGCCTGTCCAGTGACCCAGGTTAAGAGCACCTGCTTATAAAGGTGTCAGTAGTTTTAATTAAATGTTTTGTGAATTCTGCTCTATGTTGATAATAGGAAACTGATAACCAAATTTGATAGAAAAACGTGACCTATGTGCAGCTGAAGTTTCAATGTTCAGAGATAATTCTTCCCACATAATAGTTATAAAAAATATTTAAAATATAAGCTCAAGGGTCAAATACGTTTCAAACTTTAAATTATTAAAGAAAACTTACTTACCGAACAGTTTTATCATCAGCTGAAAGAATCTGTTTATCCTCACTGCACCATAGAGCCTTTTTAATACCAGAGGTATGACCACTGATTTCCTTAGGTTCTTAAGATGAAACAATTTAAAACACATTTGTTAATATTTGCTTTTTAAAACTGAGCAAAACTGGAACAATTCAATTTGTAAAGAAAAGAAAGAAAGAAGATAAAAATACATTTAAAATTAGACTGCAAATTTTCAAAGCCCACCACAATTCAAACTTGCTATTTATATGGAATGCATTCAGTTTTTCTATACTAGAGCAAAAATTTACCTGCATGACAAGGAACCCAAGAACTATGATGCCATATGTAGCTGGGAGTGAATAAATCACTCCCTCCAGGCTACACTTCTGTTTTCAAAATACTTTCAAAAGCACTATTGTACTGCAATGAAATAAAAGAGTAACTAAGGTAGCATAATTTAGTAAGAATATGGACCCAGGAACATACAGCCTGAGCCAACTCTAGTACTACCACTAAGACTGGGACCCTCATCCAAGCTACTGTTGGTAGTAACTGACAGAAAAAAAGAAGGAAGTGGGGGCTAGAAGGAGAAAAGGGAAATAAAAAGCAGTGCAGTAATTCCCAGGAATATTTCTACACTGAGAAGCAAAGCATCAAAAAAATGGGAATCTGTCTCTGTTGGAGTCTTTCCCTTGAAAAGATTTAAAAAAAGAAACACACTCATTTCTGGGCAAAAGCAGATGCTGGAGGCAATGCCATTCAACATGACTTTGACTTTGGGCAGGTAACTTAACTTTTTGAAGACATTACTTCATCTGTAAAATGGGATAACAATAGTTACTATATCATATTCTCATAGAGAATCTAACGAGAATATACATCTAAAGTTCTCATCTCATGTCTGACATACAGTAAAAGCTCAGTTAATTGCTATTATTTCTATTGTGAGAACAGTGGAAGAGCCACTTTCAGAAAGTAGCTTTGAGAAAGGTAAAAGAGATAAAAAACGTCCACCTAAACCCTGAACCACCTTGCTGAGCCAGACAGGAACACTGATTAAGTGAAGTCAGAATACTTCCTATGTTTTGGCATAAAGTTATCAAAGAGAATGAAGAGAAAAACTCCCAGGTGCCAATGGAGAATCATCTATAAATGTAGTTTGTTTCCTCACCTTAGAAATGCTTTTAGAAAAGGTATCTCAAGAATAATTGCTTAATTTCCAATGTAGCTTTGCCTTTCTTGCCCATGATACAAAATTTAAGATACCAACTAATATATAATAAATAAAACAAAATTCTGTTTACCATATTGTGGTAGCCTTTTTTTTTGGTGAGGAAGATTTCCCCTGAGCTAACATCTGTTAGCAATCCTCCTCCATTTTGTATGTGGGACGCCTCCATAGCATGGCTGGTGAGTGGAGTAGGTCCACCCCCAGGGCTCCAAAAGCAGAGTGCGAAGAACTTTAACCACTCGGCCACAGGCCCAGCCCCCAGTAGCTTTTAAAATGTATATTATGTGGCTAGAAAAGCATTAAAATACTACAAAATAGAGGTGAATATCTGGACTGAGGAAGAAAAGGTGTCTCTTACACCTCCTGTGCAATGAGAGAATTCATAAAGAAGTGATAGATCTCATCACCGAAATTTTTTAATTTGTATACCAGAAACCTTATTAACAAAATTTAAAAGCAAATGACAAATCAGAATAAAGAATCTTTAAAACCAGTAAGAAAAAGATAAACATCACAACAGATAAATGGGCAAAGGTCATGAACAGGCAATTAGTTCACAAAAGAAGAAACACATTAAAGTGGAACTCAACAGTATTTTAATCTCATGAATAATTTTTTAAAATTCACATTAATATGACAGAATCATTTTTCTTCTATTAAATTGGCAAAGATAAAGTTAGCTATCAGTGTTTGCCAGAACAGGTTAGCTATAGATATATATATTTTTTGTGTGTGTGAGGAGAGCAGCCCTGTGCTAACACCTGCCAATCCTCCTCTTTTTTTGCTGAGGAAGACTGGCCCTGGACTAACATCCGTGCCCATCTTCCTCCACTTTATATGGGACGCCGCCACAGCATGGCTTGCCAAGCAGTGCGTCAGTGCACACCCAGGATCTGAACCGGCGAACCCCGGGCCACCAAAGTGGAGCGCACGCGCTTAACCGCTTGCACCACGGGGCCGGCCCCTATAGATATATTTTTATACTTTGCTGGAAGGCACTTTGGTAAATCTATCAATGCCTTCCAAAAGCACCTCCTTTTTGTCCCAAAAATTCTACTTCTATGTAGTTATCCTACAGAAACAACTGTGGAAACATTTGCACCTATAAGGATGTTAAAGCCTAACACTGCTTATAATAATTAAAATTTGTAAATAGCCCAAACAGGCCATAATAGGAGACTAGTTAATTCACTTATCCAAAGGATGGAGAACCATACAGTCATTAAAAACAGTGGATAAAATATTTAAAGACATAAAAAAATTGTTAATTGCAGATTTTAAAAATTCTTCTGAATAGCTAATACATTCACATGGTTCAAAAATCTAAACAATATATGTACACACTGAGAATTCTCACCCTTCTCACCTTCTGCAGATAACCACTCTCACCAAAAGGTAGTAATACTGTTATGCACTTTTTAAAACTTAATATCATGATAAAAATTTATCAAGATAAATTTTTAAATTGTAAGAAGGCTATAGAACAAGCATAACGTAGTAAATATATTGATATTAAAAAAGATACCTGCGTGGAAAAAAAGACTAGAAGAATATCAACTAAAAACTAAAGATACTAACAGTGATTAATACTGGATGATGGATTATGTTTTAATTCTTTGTGACTATCTTTATTTTCCAAACTTGAGTACTGAACATGAATTCCTTTAATCAGGAAAAGTTATCTAAATTAAAAGAAGATAAAACCACAAACACATATACATTATGCTTACCTGCTTCAGGTTTGTTCAAATCATAGATGCGTAACAGTTTATCCTGTCCCCCAGTTAACAAGTAATTACTATCCTGAAAACACACAAATAAAATGTTAGATTACCATTTTAATAGTTATATCTTTTTGAAACTTCTTCAACACCAAATAAAACCCAAATAAAGCTCACAGACTTCACAAAGAGATGCAATACATACCAATCACTTCTGAAAAGATACTGTAGAGTATTTATCCCCACAACTGCCACAGCGCTTTAAGCTTCCCTGTTGAAATGTGTTACATTACCTACCACATCATGAATTCTCTCAGTCTGCTCCGAGCCTACTCCCCTCCCTCCTGAGTAGCACATCTTTGATGACCTCAAATTCCTCCTCTCTCTTCTGAAAGTAGTTGGGAAACATTATTTGGGCTTTTTAGATGTTTGTTGCTATTGTTGGAGGCCTGATACAAGAGTTCCAGGGTATCTTAAAAACCTCATAGAATTAACTAAGGAAAAATAAATCTGTATAGCCTATCTATAATCAAATCAAATATAAGCCAATATACACCAAATATTCCGCCCCAAAACAAATATAAATCAAATATACAAACCAATGAAATATAAAACCATTATTATAACCTATAATAGCAGCGATTTAACTCCCTAAAATAAATTCCATTTTTTATACCTGTGTAAAATCCACAGTCTTGACGATGTGTTTATGAGCCAGGGTCATCAATTCATCTCCCGAGACAGCATCCCACACTTTGCTAAAAGTAAAAAGTAATATTAAAAGATAAATATAGTGGTAATTTTGATAATTACTAAATCGGTTAGATATGTAAAATGTTACATAAATAGAAATCTTCATTATCGCTAATATCTCTGTTTGAGTTCATTTGATAAAATATTTAAATGAGTCTAAAGGAAAATAAATTTCTCTGTAAAAGCCATATAACCAATCTAATTTTGATTGTAGAAAAGATTTACAAATTTAAGTAAATGAGATCCACAAACCAACCCATCCTTATTTTTATTTTAGCCTATAGCCATAACATCCTTTTAGCAAGACTGCAAACACTTTAACCAATTTTTAGTTTCAACTTTCCATTTTGTTATCTATTCTCTACTCTTATATACATGCAAAACAAAAAATGAAAAACAAGATATCCTTAAAAAAAAGTTACAGGAGAATGAAAGGCAGTGATATAGGTTATGCAAAATTTCAAATCAGGACAGCAGAGAAGAAAATATTCTCCCCACCTCTTCCTCGAAGTTGACTCATAAATTCTCAAATTCTAGTACAATTAACTTCCCCCCAAAGTATTAGCTTTTGATTATATAATGCTAACACTGAGGATTTTTAATCTCTCAACTGTATGTCTCCCTGACCCATCCCAATCCAAAATATATGTGTGGTTGTGTGCCTATACACATATATATGTGTGTATATGGCAGAAGATAATAGTTAAATAATACTTTACAAAAATACCGTAAGAGATTCCCAAATAAAAAAGCTTAAAGAATAAGAAGAAAAAAAGAATTCATTTTATATCAGAAGAGGTCATTGAAAAATAAACCAGAGACCTTTGCATACAGGAAAAAAAAAACTATTAAGAGTTAACAAGCTATGCTCCATAAAGATTTCCATTTTAACGTAATTGACATTTATTTTTAAGAATAAAGTGAACAATTAACAGTAGAGAGAAAAAAAAGAAAAGCAAGGTGTATCTTTTCTTCATTTACTCAATAAATATACAATAATAGATCAAGTATATTATGTCATCCTAGACTTAGGGCTAGGGCACAAAAGGGAGAGAAAAAATGATCACAAAGAAAATTCCTGCCTTAATAGAGCTTTAGCTGTGGAGAAAAACACGCATTAATTAACACATTTAATAAATATAATTAAAAGACAAACACATATGATTATAGACACACAGGAAAAACATGCTACTAATTATGCCAGAAAGTCCAGAAAATCTAACCAGTGGAGTCAGTAGTCTTAAAAAGAGCAGGCAGAAATATACCAGGGAGCAACAAAGAGAAATGCTCTTGTGGACAAGCATTAACAGCATGTACAATGGTAAATAAACATGAATGACCACGTAACCGGAATAAATGCTGATGATACAATATAAATCTTGCATACCACATACCTAAGTCTTAAGAGTAGCTAAATAAATACGTTCTGAGAGAAATAATGTCAACTATGAATAGTGTTGCTACTAAACTCTCAAATATTCATCTCTCTTTGCAAGAGAAACCTGCTCCAATCTCTCCCATTTCCAATTCCACTCTCTGGCCAAAACCTACTTCTCAACCTCCTTTTGTATTATTTCTCTGAATCTAGTCACACCAGATTAGAAACCATTCCTCAAATAAGCCATGTATTTTCTTCTAGGCTCCTATGTCTTTGTTGATATTGTTCTCTTAAGTCTGTTATATTCTTTTACATTCTCAGCTACCAAAGTTCTATTCATCCTAAGGGCTCATTTCAAATGGTATCTTTTCATTAAACCTTCTATTTATCTCACCTCCATTAATCATTCCTTCCTGTTTTTCCACAGAACCCAGTTTATACTGATTACTGTGTTTAATTTTGCTTTGCTTTTATTTTTGTTTACATGTTTACTTTTAATCACAGCGAAAACAGTGATACGAGTTCACAAAGATTAGGATTCCAGACTGCTGCAATGACAGAAGGTATGAAAAGTGAAGAAAATATCAAATATACCTGAAATTTTTATCCTACTTAGTCACCTGATGCTGAGTCTCAAAGGAACTCTGGGCAATGTCCTTTGAAATACTAATTTCAAGTATATTCAGTAATCTTCCCAAAACTCCTTAAAATCGTACAATTCTGCTTAGACCACGTCTGTTCACTGAGGAGGAAAGAACTCACGTGACCAAAGTAGGATCATCCAGGGGCCAGTGCATCTACAGTCTTCCTCCTCCTACTGAGAAACACTACTAAAATTGAGGACGACACTCTCTGACAGAGCACGTTCTAATTACTTGCACTACCTTTGGCATATTTCCATTATTCACAGTAAGAGTCCTAAAAAGAATATGGAACGTTTTCTAATGTATTTTTCAATCTCTAGGCAAGAAACTGATATTAACCAGCTGGCTGCAGGGCTCAAATCAAGACAATGAAGCATCATTAACAATATCCTTTCATCAGCTAATCCCACAGCATTTATTTTCTGCACAATTCATGAAGGACTTGTCATCTCCCTGAACTACAATACCTCTTATATCCCCAGTCTCTTGCACATAATAATCAATGCTACCTGTTCAATACTGTTCACATTCTGAGAAGGGACTTACCATAAGTCTCAAAAGAGGAGCTGCTTAACTTACTCCTTTAAAGCCTTAGCAAAACAATTAAGCTATTTTAGGCGAAAAAACTGCCTAACAATCTTAACATGTCAACCAAGTCATCAAAAAGGAGGTAATACCACCTTTGTTTTATTGAGAACCTTATTCAGAGAAAAATTGATCTTTCTAGTGGTTTTTACAAGAAAGAAACAGTGATCATACACTTTGGTTACCTATAGATTCCTGGGCCCAACCTCGGATCTACTTAAGCACTCTCGGGAACAGAACATAGGAATCCTTTCTACTTTTGGCACTCTCCCCAGATGATTTTGATGGGAGGAAAGCAGAGGGGCTGAGAAGAGGATCATGGGAAGTAAAGCTAAAATTAGCTTTATGAATTAAAAGATATAAAGAGGATGATGTTTCAGGGACTCGACTGCCCGAATTCCCTCAAAATAACATTCTAAACTGACGCACAGACCAGCTCTGCTGAATATACCTTCTCCAAAGAAAAAGAAACAAAATTTACCTCCAGATAAACATGACATTAACGAATTTTCTGAGAAACATAATGAAGGGAAAAAAAAGAACTTCCTAAAAATGATTTATACTATGACTAATCAGGTGAGTTGGGGGAGCTATTCTTTAACTGGATCAAGTTCCATAATAGCAAGCCCCATACAAGTCATTAAAAGAGGAGAATATAAACAACAGATGCACATCTCCCACATCTCACAGACAGGCACGGAACAAATAAGGGTAAGGCTCAGCTTCCATTTACTGAGCACCTACTACGTAACAGACACCGTGCTAAACTCCAGGGATATAAGTGGAGAAAGATCTCTCTCATCCTCCAAATTACCATGTTGCCCTTACACCCATTTTATAGATATGAAAACTGACGTTTAAGAAAGATCTGATGGGGCCAGCCCAGTGGCATAGCGGTTAAGTGCGCACGCTCCGCTGCAGCGGCCCGGGTTCGGATCCCGGGTGCACACCGACGCACCGCTTGTCAGGCCATGCTGTGGCGGCGTCACATATAAAGTGGAGGAAGATGGGCACGGATGTTAGCCCAGGGCCAGTCTTCCTCAGCAAAAAGAGGAGGATTGGCAGATGTTAGCTCAGGGCTGATCT